ACCAAGTCGAGTTGAGTCGAGCTGAGTTGAGTTGAGTCGAGTTTGTGGCAAAGTTCAGGGAGCAAGATTAAGTGCTTTCATTTGCCTTCGCTTGAAAAATGATGCAACGCTATAGTACTGAAGTCCTGAAGTCCTGCAGCCCAAGAGAAACGGAAAACCGATGGCAAATAATGAAAGTTTTTGGTCGGCAAGTGCAGGTTGCAAAATAATGAATGGGGCCTGCATTTATTAATGTTTTCGGAAAGCGTTCGCAAATTAATTGCCATTTAATTTGTTATGCTAACTACACTCACACACCGAAAGACTAATTGGTTTAGCTGGCAACATTTTGCGTAGCTTTAATTAAATTGTAAATTTTCCGTTTAGCCAGCAGGAAGTCGAGTCGAGTCGAGAGAGCAGCGAAAATTGCAATTAAGATAATTATCTGGCAAAAGCAAAAGTGTAAATCCTTTGCGCTCCAAGGATTATGCAACTGCAGTCGCTCTGCGTCGCGCTGCTGCTGTGTGCCACACTTAATTTGCATAAATTTCAAATGAATCCAATGGCCAAAAAAGCGCAGCTAAACAATTGCCACTGATGAAGCAGCAACAGAGAGGCAAAATTACACTGCGAAAAAAAAAGTGCACAATTTTAAGCTGGCCCAAGCTATGTTCAATATTTATTATTGTTTGATAGTAAGGAAAGCTAGTTTCTGAAAACTTTATGATTAATGTAAGTCAAAAGTCCCGATTAGTAAAGAAGTTATAATTTTATAATTGTAAAAGTAAAATGTTTAATCTTTGCCCTGCTAAAAATATTAAAAAATTAAAAATAAATCAACACATTTGATTTTGTTATTTAACTCGCAATAAATAGCCAGAGTTCTGATAGTAGAGAATAGAATCTTCTAATCAATAATGTTCTACCGTATTTTAGATCGTTTAAATTATGGTTTATTTGTTATCAAAGTCCCGGCAAAAAAAAGTTTGTTTGAACCATGATTTCAAACAGGACTAGACTCTAAAGTTTCTTCATAATTCACTTAGTTCATAATTGTTATTCTTTTAAATATTTTACATATAATTATTTATGTATATTTTTGGTAATTCCAGCTATTCTTAAATTTAAAAATTAAGGTATAATTTTCTGAGTGCAACGGCTGCTGCAAACTGCAGCTTGGGGCGCTTACTTTGTCTGTGCCACATGGTGCCCCTGCATTCCCTTCGCTCGCAGGTGCCACAATCACCAGGAAAGACGTCGCAGGATAATCGAAGAACAGGGAGCGGGACCAAGGATACAGGGAGAGCCGAGAATTTTGTGTTATTCTTACGGATTTTCTACTTTGTTGGCAATGTAAGCAAAGCGGCGACTGGCCTCCCTTCGCCCCTCCGCTTTCATTTGCTCTGTGCAAAGTTGACGCTTTTGTTTGATTCGTGTCACACAGCTGACCAGCGCCACGCCCCTGCTGCCCCATCAAACCAAACCCTCCCCCCCCCAAGACCCCACTCCCCATCAAGGCTCTATCGTTCCACTCTGTTGGAGTTACTTTGCTTGGAATTATGCAAAACACAAAACGGGCAAGGGAAGAAACACAAAACAAATAGAAAGACGGAATTGTCAAATGAGATTCAATGTTCTGCTCAAGTGGCTCTCGTCTCCGGTTTGCCGGGAGTGGAGTGAATTTTAATAATAAATATTCGTGTGACCACTGAGGAAAGTTGCAGCAGCAGCAGCAGCAGCTCACATGCAATTTTCCAGAATTTACTGCTGCGTGAAAACTTTTGCAATTCGGTGCCGAATGCCCAATGCCCAATGCCGAATGGCGAATGGCGAATGGGCCAACAAAGTGGCGGAGCAAGTCTTGGCCAACTGGGATCGCCTTGCGTGTCCAGGCACAAGCTGAAGGCAAATGAAGCTACAATTACGTCTACAAATACACATAAAAGGGGAAGTAATTTGCAATTAAATTACGACGAAATGGGCAATAGAAAAGGAATTAATTGTCCACGAAATGCAATTATGCTTTGCTCGCCCGCTTCCCTTCTTTATTTTTTTTTTCGCCTTCCATTCGCTGCAAACTGAATGAGCGAATAAATGAACGAATGAATGGCATCGCAAAGTGGGACAGTTGAGCAGTTCAACTTTGGTTGCAGCTTAATGGAATTGCATATTAAGAACTTGTCAAAATGATAACTTTTCATCGGTGCCATCAAACTGAAACGAGCAACATGGCAGTTCGCACTCGCTAAGTAAGTGCGTTTGCTGCCGAAACTTTAATGTTGAATGGACCAAACGGAGGACGTTGGCTACCAACTGGTTTACCCTAATAAATTACGAATGCTCCCTTTTATTGAACTTAATTTCCTTTTTTTGACCATCCCAAGCAAAGCAAAGTAAAAGCCGCTGCAAAGGAGATATATGGCCGCAGTCAAAGATTACATTTAGTGCAGACACTGGAAAAATTTTAATAAGTTTAAAACAATAAAAACTATTTAAAAAATGTTGAATTAATTTTGTATGCTAATGACAATATATGTTATTTTATTTTTAATAAAATTACATCACATACTATTTCTCTTATTAAATAAAAACAATTTTTGATTCAATCTTTCAATGCAGGGTACATTTATTTAATTATTTTTGTTGTTGAAAGCCTTATGTCAAATAATGAATTAGGGAATAGTGTTGGTTTATATTTATTTTATTATAAACTTACTTTAAAATGTACTCATGAATTAATATAAGAATAAGATCAGAATATTTATCACATTTCATAAAGATACTAAAATTCGTGAGTCTTCTTTTGTAGTATTAAGAAATATATTAAATCTAAGCACATATAAATAGTATATTTATTGATATTTATACATTCAAACTACTATAAACTATATATAAATACGACCACCTTATATATAGATCCTTTGGTACCTTCAAACTTTTATAAAATCCCAAAAGAACTCAAATTTTTTCCATAACCAAAAAAATATTTTATTTTTTCTGAGTGGACACACACTCAGTGATTTTTGTGTGCACTCGGAGCTGCAGCCCAAGGTTGAGTGCCTCAAGCAAGCCGCAAGCAGCCAAATGCGATGCCTTTCAAAGCTGGCTAACGATCGGCAAACAGACGAGGGGCGGGGTAGGGGTAGGGGGGGTCTCAGGACGAATGGGGGTCCTTCGGCAGGATGTAGCATTGTAGCAATGGAGATGGGATGGTCAACATTTTCGGGTTCCATCGGCTTTGGCTTTGAGCGTGGCACGCAGCAAATGCGTTTGCATTTCGGTCAGATGTTTGCGGCAAGCCCCAGTCCGCAAACTTACAAGCAAACACAAACAAGGCCGGCAGCCCGTAGAGTTGTTTGCGCCTTTATGGCAGCCAAAGTTTGACCACATTTTACTAACAAAAATATTACAACAATGGCAGCCTTGAAGTCTGCCTGTGGTCAAGGGACCACAGCTCCGCAGAATCCGCCCACCACCCACTGTCCACCTCCCACCGCCCACCACTCACCGCCCAACGCCCACAAAAAGGATGCAATTAATTTTGCAAAAGGACAACTTCATCTGACAGCAATAATGTATTGCAAATACCAGAAGCGCACAATGGCCAAGGAATTGCATAAATTGCCGAAATGAGTGCGGAAATTGGTAGGGGATTAAATGGCCTAAACAGTTGCCGCGGCATTAGGCTGATCGGTCGACAAACCGAGTCGAGGGAACTGAGTCCTGCGAACCCTTTCCCAAAATCAAAACACCAGCAAACCCCCATTGGGTTCGATGTCGTCCGGCAAACTTTTCACTTTGCATGAATACATACCAAATAAAGCAACAACACCAACCATGCTGCAGCAGAAACAACAACACCAAGCACAAAAACAAAAAAAAAACAAAAAAATGGGAAAACTTTTTAATTTATATTTAAACTTTTTCAAAGTGTTGAGAAAGGGGCGTTATCTACTGCTGGTGCGACTTGCTGGCTCGAATGCCAAATAGTTATAAAACACCAAATGTGCCTTGCCATGCAGAAGTGTGTAAAACGAGGCTAACAAGCTCTGCAACCCGCTTAAAGCCCAGCGGTTGGTAGTTGAGGTCAGTCGGGGATTACCTTACATAAGTTAGCAAGGGCTCCCCGGAGTGATGAGTGGCCAACATTCTTTTACGGTAATCATTTATTGATAGTTGAATAAGTTAATAGAGCCCACAACGCTGAAAACTTTCAAATGAAATTTAGCTAACATTTTAAAAATGTAAATAGATGTAATCCTCTTCTAATATGTTGTATACCATAATTAAATTCGAATATCGATAGCTGAAACTCTCTCATCTGTTAAAAATAAGTTGATTAAACTTACAGCCCTGAGTTAATTGAAAAATAAAACTTTCATATAAAATTTAGCTTACGTTTTAAATATAGATATAAATAGATATAATCCTCTTCTAATATACCATTATTAAATTTCAAAGCTGAAACTCTCTCATCTGCTAAAAATAAACTTTAGTTAAACTTACAGCGCTGATTTAGTTGAAAAATTAAATTTGCATGTGAAATTTAGCTTTCATTTACATTGCCTAAAGATATATTTATATATATTATTCTAAATCGGTTAGTAATATTTAAATATCAATGCTGAATCTCTCACATTACATAAAATTTTTAACTAATTATCAGTACTCTCAATTCCGTGTTGCAAAATACATAGATTTATTAGCAATATTAAAAGCCTAATCAACTGTAAACTAACAAAGTTATAAACCAACCTAAACTATAAAAAATTACGAGCAATTCTAATTTTTTATAAAAGAGCTTAAAACAAAATAATTCTAAATGATTTTTTATTAGAGCTATGACTATTGCACATTGTTTTGCCTTTATATCAATCTACAAATTATACGTTGGTTTCTTTTTCATCCGGAAAAGGCGTTTAATCTAAATTTGTAATCTGTGTTGTAATACATTAATAAAATGTTTGACATAAAAGCAGATCCATTCCAAAACGCAAGTTCATTCTCAGCCCAAGATAGAGATGAATTGTTGCGGATTCTGGATATGGGAGCTCTTGATCCTATTCGAAGTGGTTAACTTATCAATACAAGTAAAATTCGAATTTGTTCTAGATGACGATTCAGTATATAGCGACTGCAGCGATGCACCGCCTGGAATCCTCAACATAGACGCTTTTTTTGACCGGTCTAATCTGAGCACAATTATGGTCCCTCAAGGAATCCAAATGTCGGGGAATATAACTTCAGTGTTTAATTCCCAAGCATCGGATCGCGTTGAGGTTTCTCCACATGGCAAGTTTAAAACAGAAGACGTTCTTAATCATGTTTATATTTCAGATGACTGCAAGCTTACTTCACTACGAACGAGGTTTTTGGCAACCAACCACTTTAAATATAAAAGTAAAGGACTTCTGTGCGGTTATGTATGATGAAAAGCAACTGTGGTACAAACCCTGGAGTTCGCATATAACAAATAGGAAGGAAATTGAAGACAAATGTTTTTCGTTTGGTGTAAGTCAGTAATGAATTTTCATCTGGAATTTTTTACATATATTTTGTTGGTTCCAGACCGTCTATGTAATGGAAAATTATACCATGGAGTTGGGATTTGGAAGTGGTATACCACTGCCTGTTGGGCGTTACAGCGTTCGCGTTGAGGTTTACTCAATTGACAAATCAGAACAAAGACGTCCACATGGTATCTGCTATGAACTCATTGGTAACTTTTATAAAATCTGAAAATATTGTTTGATTGTTTATTGTGTTGTAATAAAAATTGTTTGATTACTGACAAAAATATATCTTTTCGCAGTTATACCAAATATGTATTTAATAACATACCTATTTTAATAGTTTATATAGCAAATATATGCTACCTTTTAAGGATGCTTTTACTTTTATTAAGCATACATATGCCTTCCAAAAAGGTCTTGCTATTAATTTTATTTTCTTGCTGTGAGTTAATTAAAAACAAGAAAGGAAAGCTAACTTCGGGCGGAGCCGAAGTTGATATACCCTTGCAGAATACTCTATAAATTATATTCTCCAAAATTATTCATATGATGCATTCTTAATACTCATAAAAAATCCGAACTTCCTAACTTTAACAACAACAAAGTTATGGCATTTCCAATCGTTCAGTTATGTATATGGCAGCTATAGAATATAGTCGGCCGATCCTTATGAAATTTGATATGTCGGATTGATTGGGCAAAAATAAAACCCATAGAAAATCCCAACTTCCTAACTTAACAAACACTAAAGTTATGGCATTTCCGATCAATCAGTTATATGGCAGCTATAAGATATAGTCGGCCGATCCTTATGAAATTTGGTAGGTCGGATTAATTGGCCAAATATAATACCCATAGAGAGTCCCAACTTCCTAACTTTACAAACACCAAAGTTGTGGCATTTCCGATCAATCAGTTATATGGCAGCTATAGGATATAGTCGGCCGATCCTTATGAAATTTGGTAGGTCGGATTGATTGGCCAAATATAAAACCCATAGAAAATCCCAACTTCCTAACTTTACAAACACGAAAGTTATGGCATTTCCGATCAATCAGTTATATGGCAGCTATAGGATATAGTCGGCCGATCCCGTTCCGACTTATATACTGCGTGCAAAGGAAAGAAGGGTGTGTGCAAAGTTTCAATCCGATAGCTTTAAAACTGAGAGACTAGTTTGCGTAGAAACAGACAGACGGACAGACAGACGGACAGACGGACAGACGGACAGACGGACAGACGGACATGGCTATATCAACTCAGGAGGTGATCCTGATCAAGAATATATATACTTTATAGGGTCGGAGATGTCTCCTTCACTGCGTTGCACACTTTTGACCAAAATTATAATACCCTCCGACTTATATACTGCGTGCAAAGGAAAGAAGGGTGTGTGCAAAGTTTCAATCCGATAGCTTTAAAACTGAGAGACTAGTTTGCGTAGAAACAGACAGACGGACAGACAGACGGACAGACGGACAGACGGACAGACGGACAGACGGACAGACGGACAGACGGACATGGCTATATCAACTCAGGAGGTGATCCTGATCAAGAATATATATACTTTATAGGGTCGGAGATGTCTCCTTCACTGCGTTGCACACTTTTGACCAAAATTATAATACCCTCTGCAAGGGTATAAAAAGAAAGGCTAACAGGAGCAAGAGTTTAAGCAGATGGATATGGAAAAATCCAATACTAGTTAATAAAAACGTATTTTCAATTATTTACCATGTTATTTTGCACATAAAATAGTTGTTATTTTTTAAACATTATAATCTGCATTGTTTGGACATTTTCTTGGAGTTCAACCAACAACTTTTTTAAATCCTTTTTAAATACACGTTTCACGCCCACAGCGTTAGCTTATCACAATTTGCCTATCAAAATATTTTTATTTGCAAATAAGGTGTCCGTATACATTTATAAAACGTAATAATACGTCTTTCGTTTACACAACTGAAATTGACATATCCGAATTCGATTGAAATCTTGGTTCCGCCCTTATGATGTTTTGCTTATTAGAGCAGACGCAATAATAATAATTAGCTATGTGAAATGATATATAAATTGCTTGAAAACCAGATTCAATTAATAGTACAGCTTACTCGATGACCACACTAAAGATGTCTCTCGGTCTATTTGGAATTCTGCAGCTTGTGATCCTGTTGAATCTGGTCAAAAATTCCATGGAATCTAAATACGATTTTCTGTTGGAGGATGAGAAGATATTCAGTGCCTGCAGGGACCAGCCAAAGGAAACTCTCGATATCACAAGCTTGTTCGATTTTACAAATACCAACTTTATTATGAGTGAAGAGGGAGTAACGCTTTCGGGCAACCATTCAGTTATTTGGGATATACAGGCATCAGACCGAATTGAGGTACCAATTAATAGTGTTTCAGTCTCCAAATAAACAAGTTCCATTTTCAGGTTCATTTTAGTGCGCTGCAATTCGATCGCGGTACTTGGCAACCGACCACGCTTAATATGTTTATCAAGGACATTTGCGAAATCCTTTTTGACAAAAATCAACTGTGGTATAATGTTTATAGTAAACACATACAAAATACCGAGGAGATGCAAAATGAATGTTATGTTAAAGGGGTAAACAATTTGAACAAACTTTTTTTACAAGTTACAATAAATATTTTTTTTGCAGACCACAATTTTATTAGAAACCTATACGATTAATTTTGAGCTTTCTAGTGCCTATCCAATAAAAAATGGTCGCTATGCACTTCATAGTTTGGTAACTCCATACGACAAAAATGGAGTGAAGCGTCCTCAACAAGTCTGTTTTGAAGTCAAAGGCGAGTTTTTAAAGAAAAAATAGTGAAGTTGGAATATTATCTTATGCCTGTTTTTTTTATGGATGTAAATATAAAATTTGTTTTAAGCCTGCTGCTGAAAAAAACATATATATTATTTACACTTTCAAAAAAAAACGTTCAGAACAAGAATAAAGTCAAAACTTTAAGCATCATATAATCAAACTATAATATAATACATTTTAAAAAGTTTATTAAAATTTACCTATGGAAATAATATTAATTAAAAAGTATTCATCTGAAATCTAAAATATTTATTTATTAATTTCTTAAAAATAATTACAAATTCATTTGGCAAACGTTTTATTTGCGCTCTGTTTGCTCTTTTTCGCTGGCATTCCCGCGAATGGTTGCATTGCATTTATCAATATTTATAGCATTTAATGTGCAATTTGCATTTCTTAATGAAATTACACAGAAATTATATATAAATCAGCATAATTTGAGCAACGTGCAGCGCGGCACGCTCAACTGGCAGCCAGGCTACGAGTATCGATATCTGGACGGCCATGTAATTTCCGCTTAATTTGCTGCCATTACCACAAAAATGCATTAAATGCGTGTGCAAAGAGGCGCAGCGATAGCCTTTAAATGTGCTGCAATTATTTGCATTGCAATTTTAATTGAGTGTTAAAATATTTGCGGCCACCTGGTGTCGCGGCCATTGATATGTGAAATCGCCAACGGGCCGCAACCTATCTAAGCTGTGATCTCTGGCGAAAATCTCCAAGGAGCAGCAAAATTGCAGGACCCCCTCATTGCCTTTTCACTGTGATCAGCCGTCATTTGCTCCCATGGTGATGGCTGTCCCCTCCTCCTCATCCACCTCCTCTGCAATCCCACTGACTCCGGCCTGTGCATCAGGATTCCGGCTGTGGGGTGCATTAATAAATTGAGTTGGGCCCATAGTGCAACTCGCAACTGCAACAGATTTCGCCTAAGCATACACGCAAAACAATTGCAGCACAAGGGTTTTTATTAGAGAAAAAGCACTCTTTACTTTCAACAAATTACAGGGAAATTAATAAATCCTTATACATTTACCACTTGTATAATAATTCTTGTTCTAAAATTCTTTGTCAAGTTCTAAAAAATGTTTAAACGCTTTAAAAAATATATGCGAATAAGGTACTCTCACTTTTCTTTTTTTTGTTTTTTCAATTTACAGTCAAAAAAGTAAAAAATATTTTAGATAATTAAGGCCCTTTAGTACTTTTTTACGATCACTTTTAAAAATGTTATAATGAACTAATATTGAAAAACATTTGTTGCACAATTTTAAAACTGTAATAACCTTATTTAGTTTTTGCATTTTTTTTCAGTGCACCTATGCACACATACAATAGCTGGGGACGGGCCTGTCGATTTCATTTGATATGCGCCTTTGGCCATAAAATTTGACACAAACGCAGGACACACACATTGGACCCGATGTCCGGATTTGGAGAGGACGAGGACGAGGACGAGAGGTCCTGGCCAAAGCGTTGCTCATTTGCAGTCGTTATTAAATTGCGTTTTTCAAATGGGACAAAGCGGAGGCAGGAGCCGGGACTTTGGCAGGGGGGGGGGTGCATTGGCATTTTAATGAACTGATCCTGATGCATTTGGCCAGGCCAACTGCATTCGGGCCGCCTGCCCCTTTGTGCATTTATTTGTTTGCTTTGGCACTGATTGTATTTGCATTCGTGCGTGTGTGTGCCATTGGCAAACGTTCGATTTGGTGTAATGAAATTTTCTAATCAAAGCGTTTTGTTTATTTGCATTTGGTCATGGGCAGCTGCCACTCCATCGGCTCCTGCTGTTAGTTTGGTTTTGTTTGGCTTGTTGACTGCCCGCCGCACTGCGTTGTTGCCGCTGTCGCCCGCCTTTGTTTACATTGGGTCAAAGGTTGTCACTTGTGCAAATACTAATTAGTTGTAATTAGGTTTTACATATGCACACCGACCGCAAAACAATTGCTCAGAAAGGGACTAAGCGTAGCTTAAGGCTTTGTTAATTAATCGATGCATTAATCTCGGGGGAAATTCATTATCACCTTTAAGATATGTCTCTATCTTAAAGACAATTCGGAACAACTTAAAACCGTTAAAAATATTTTATTATATTTATATTTAATAGTTTAAGACCATAAAGAAATATGATGTGGTGGCAAAGAAGCTTCTCAAATTTGCATAACCAACTGAAAGCCGAGTTATTTGGCTCTCTAAATATAATTTAAAACGTATAATTTAAGAAATCCTCCTGAACTTCTTTACAATTTTAAAGAAATTTTCTTGAGGAATAAATCATTTTAAAGTCCTCCAAAATGTCAAAATTTTGATGTGATTACATGTGTGAATTTATTATAAATCTTCCTCATACCTTGTACATTAAATACTTGAATTAATTTGAGCGTTAATTGATGAGAGTTTCCTAAGGTAAAAGAAAGAAAGATCAAAATATGTTTCTCAGATTAATATTAAGAAGAATTCTTGATTATAATTGAATATAAGCCAGCAAAAGCCCTTCCTTGCTTTTTTAGCTAGCTTTTCTTGGGTTTTTAATTTAATCTATGCATTGCTTTTCATCCTGCTCAGCTTTAATCGCTTTGATCTGGTCTCAAATTAAATGGCATTTTTTGCGGCCAATTTACATATTTTGGGCAAGGCAGAAATGGAAACAATAAGCCATAATTTTTATATAATTAACTCTATTCCCCGTTTGGCGCCACACAAAGTCTTTGAAATCTCATTTGAATATGAAATTCATATTCAAATTCAAATTTTCGCAGCTCTAGCTTTTCCCCTTGGCATCCTCGCAGCAGCGAGTTCAATGAGGTGTTAAACCATAATTTGCACAAACGCTTGGCTGAACCAAAAGCCCAACCGCCCACCGCCACCCACTGCCCCAGCTACCACGCCCCCAACCGCCTCTTTTACCGCACATTTGCATTTCGCGCGCTTTAATTTTTACTTTATTTCTTTTCGCGCATTTTTTTTTAACTTCTTTTAAAATATTTTCGAGCTCCATTGTTCTTTTGCCGCAAAGTGTTTGGCCACAATTACGCAATGAAGTCGAACCGGTGGAATGGGGTTTTGATGCATGCCCCGCCATCACAGTTAATCGCCATGAAATTTGTGGACCCATAAAATGGACACTGGCCAAGCGTAATAGCCGAATTTTATTAGCTTCAATTTAACAATTTGTGGCTAAGGCCACTTCACTAAGGCCACTTTATTAATATTTAAACAAGGCAAACATTAGACTTATGACCGCTGTGCCCCGCAAAAAAAGAAAAGAACCTCATTTCACCTGGCGCTGCTGTTACTGATGAGTATTCCGCTGCGAACAATGGAGCCACACCATTTTAATTTTTCACTTGGCTGAGTGCAAAATTAAGACATTAAACGAATGCGTCGCACTGTCCCCCGCCCCTTTCCTTATAATGAAGTTGGAGCGGGCACAGCTGTGCCAAATCCTCCATCCGCCATCCGCCATCCTCCATCCTCATCCGCCATCCTGGCTGTCTGTCTGCACGAAAGAAGACTGTACCCCCGAACAACTGATTTTAATAACAGTCATCCGCTGCCGCTGTGCATAACGATGCGTAACCTTCGGGCAAGGGGAGGGGGCGTGGCAGGGCGTTCGGGCCACGTTATGACTTTGATTCATCAGGAGGGAAAGTGGCTAGAAACCAGCGACAGCCGCTGACCTGCACTGTCAAAAACATCTGGCGAATTGAAGGCAGGAATATGACAAGTCATAAACTCTAAAGGTAAAATAAGGCGATTCGGAATTAAATAACATTTTTAAAAGAATATTTGTAAGCTCCAACCATTGAAAATAATATTTTAAAAGCAAAAGTATATAACATATTCATCCGTTGATATTTTAAAGCCTTTTAATTAAGTAATCATTTAAAATGTATTAAACACAAACTATTTATTAAATGTTGCAGCTAGGAAAGAACGGGCCAAAGTTTAAGAGCAAAAAAATGTCACTAATTTATTAAAAAATTATTCAATGAAGTCTTAATCTTATTGATTAAAAAATGTAGAATAACAAATCAAATCTCTTTTTTCAACCCACTTTTATTTCCCCATAAAGCCAAGTAAAGAGTATAATGAATGATTTATTTCTATATTTTTAAATTAATGAAAACTGATATGCCTGTCAAAAATTAAGAATTCTTCGATCAATTATTTTAGCCATTATGCAAATATTTTTTGCCAAGTGTTTCCTCGCCATTTGCATACAAATGGGCGTTGGACTTTGACGCATAAGTTCGCTGGCAATTTGCTTATAAAACGTATTCTAATTGCCAGCAATTGCGACGCGGCGACACCGGCAGGTGGTGGACTCTTCTTCTTTTCGCCGGCAGTCGTGGGTTAAGCGCTCAGCAGATTTAACCCAAGCAATACCACGAGCGTGCCACACTCACTGGATTCTGCGGAAAAATAAAAGAGGCAGCTCGCCACCCTTGTCAGCGTCAGTAATAAAACTTTATTGAATTGTATTGATTTTAAAATTATTACCATTGAGGCGGAAGTAATGCAATGTAGCCGCGTGCATATGTATGAGTGTGTGTGTGTGTGATTGGGTGGGTGCTTTGCGTGTGTATCAGTATGTGTGTGGGGGCGCTCAAGTGTGTTCTAGCAACGGCTGTTGGAATTTAACAAACAACAACATTTTCATTATTGTGTGCAGCTCAGTGCAGAAAAAAATGGAAAAAAAAGGAATAAACCGAACCCAAACAAAGGGCTCACTCGAAAGGGGGGCTTGTATTGTATTATTTGGCAAAGGGGTGTCGGGGATATTCACCCCTTGGAAAATCTCCTTTGTCGTCGTCTCAAGTGCTTAACTTTCCATTTCGCTGTGTGCGCTGCAAAGTAGGCAACGTTTTCTTGGAACGCAACACTTACACACACACACACACACACACACACGCATGCACGGCCAGGATTCCGTTTGGTTTTAATGAAAATCTAACGTTTATTGTAATTTTCCCTCTATTTTTCTTTCGCAT